GAACGAAAGGGGCTGCGATGTTCGCACCCCGAGCAGCAGTGGCAGCATAAGAAACCGGAGCCGGAACGACCGGAGGTGGCATCCTCAGACGGCCTTCCAATTCTCCGCACCGAAGCATCAGCGCCACGACTAGCTCGTCGTAGCGGCTAAGCGACTCAGAAAGCCAGTTGGCTGCCTCCCCGGTCATCGAAACGAGGCTTCTCCTCGCCATCCTCTGGGCCGTCGATAGCTCGGCCAAAACGGCCGCATGCCCGTCCGCGACCACTCTACCGGCGTTTGACCTCGGTATTTCCGACGGCTTCTCAGCCAGCCGGACTGAGCTCTGGCCACCACATCTTTCGATCGCTTCGTCGATCACCTGGAACAACCCATCTCGACCGGCACCAACACCAGCCGCTGCAGTCGGCGCTGCAACGCTCCTCTCCTCCTGGCACGCAACTGGTCTGGGCTCCTCCAGCGAAGACAGCTGATCCTCGACCATCCGACCAGGAACTCCTGTCTCACTGTCCCGCGCCGGCACCTTCGCCTGCGAGGCGCTCCTCGGCGGCGCAGTGGCGCGTTTGCCCCTAGGGCGACCCCTTGCGGGCATCCTGCTGGCACTACTTGCCCTGCTCCCAGCGGACTGCTCGCTCTCGGAAATATCCATAGCGCCCTCCTTTGGGGGAAGACGCCGTCTATTGGGTATTTCCAGTACCCGAACCGCTGTCTGTGTTAACAACTATCCAAGACACTCACCAATAAACTAGGTGGCAACTCTGAATAGAGCGGGTACACCAACCGAACACTACAGCTGTCGCACAGCTGTTTTCGCTCTCAGAGAGCGGCCGTGAGCGGACGTGGGCGCACGTGCGTGGAAATTTTCCAAAATCAAATTGTTAATTTCCCGCGACCCGTTGCACTTTCACGCGCGAAAAACCTCTCTACGTACACAATAGATGCTGCACTTCAGTCTGAGTCAGTTTTTACACTTTGATTCCGCTTATTTGTCCGTTTTAGAAAAATGCACTCGCGGAGCACACGAAAACACGTCTACTCGGCGCAACTTTCCACGAACGACTGTGACTGCCTGCGCTATGGCAATCGGTGCATCGGACTCCGCAACTGGAAAGAAGTTGGAGGAGCACTCGCGCACAGTCACCCCAATCGGTAACCAGCTCGCCATTCACGCGAAGGCACCCAATCTCCGTCCGTCTGCGACCTCGGTAAATCTTATAAACGCGCCCCCAGGGATCATGTGAATTTTCTCCCACGAAGCGTCTCCAGTCCTCCTCCTTGGTCATCAGGATGAGCTTCTTGTATTCCGCTGAGGCATGCCTCAGCTGAACAACAAGTTGCTCAGTCGCAGCCACATCGCCCTGGCGGCGAGCATCCTGGACTCGGCGTCGCAGTCTCCTGACCACGCGGCGCTTGGAGCTCAGTCCACCAACCTACTCTCCTTCGACGCAGTCCCGGCGTCCTACGGTCCAGGGCCAGATCGCACACGTCGTGCACGGTCTGCCGAAGCCATGCGACTTGGTGGTCCAACGGCGCTTCTGAGAAGTCTTCCGGAAGTCCGGTTGCCCTCCTCACAATCTCCTCTTCGAACAATCGCCAACGTGCATTGGAGAAGTTCCAGGATGGCACAGGAGCTATGCTCTCAACTGTGCGCGCGGTTGCCAAAGTAGCCACAACACTAATGCGGTTATGGTCACTTGACTCCCACTCATCCACTCTCCACTCATATGTGGCCAGCATAGATGCTGCATGGTTGACGATCGTCACGTCGATATCGCTGCGCGCTCGGTGATGATCCACTAGGATGGCTGCCTTCCCACTTCGATCCGCGAAAATCCACATAAGGCTCCTGCAACAGTGCGAACAGGGATCGAGATTCGCGTAATCTGACGCCGAGCACGATGGTAGGAACTCGGCCACGGCCACAGTTTGCTTGGATGAAGCTAAACATTAATGTCTGGCATTACACAGGACAGCCGGGGGACAACATATGGTGTCCCGACGGGTAGCCCTTGTATCGGCACTGTGCGACCTTGTGGTCAAAGCCAAAACATCGGTGGCAAGCATATGTGCGGATCAGCGCTCGGCAGTTATATGCAAACCAGCCGATATACACCTTTCCGCCATCCAGCACCTTAAGGGCCACGGCATTCACCTCAAGCGTCACATTAACAGTGGCGCCGTCGGCTGCAGACCATGGCTTCTCAAGGTGTATCGCCTTGTTAAAAGAAGCCTCATCCATCACGTCTGCGAAGTTGTTTTTATACAACTCCTTCATAAAAACAGTAGGCGTCGTGGCAGTGTCCACATTGCTTACAATGACTTTAGGTCGCTGCGCAGGGTTCTGTTGAACCTCCAGGCCAACTTCTCCGAACCTCTTGCTTGCAACAACCTTCTTGATTTCGCCTGACAAGGGGGTGTGGATGATGGCACCACCACGCGCAAGCCCTCTCACCTCGTGCAGGCGCACCCCGAGCGAAGGGGCGATCTCCTTACGCACCTTTTCCGCCACTTGGTTGCCCGAGACGTTCGGGTCCTTGCTGACCACAACAACAGACCACGTCTCTCTGGGCTTCCTCGGCGCTGGCACTGGGCCGGCCTGTGGCGCTGGCAGGCTGGGATATGCAGCGGCATACCCAACAGGCGGCAAGGGGACCACAGCTGGCGCGACGACGGGAGCGCTCTGGGCATTCAGCTGCCTCTTGCTCACCTCCACCTCTTTGCAACGGCGTCATCCGAGCATTGTCGCTCAGAACGGGCAACGGGAGCAACGGGAGGGGGGACGAGAAACTTGGCACCAGTTTCTCTCTCCTTGCTGGCAGCAACATCATTCGCCGAAGCCAGCGCAGTCGTCGATGTCGACGGCTGCGGGTCCTCCAGCGACGACAGCTCCTCCAGCTTGAAATGCGGCTGCGGCATTCCACCGCCACCGCAGCTGGCAGCAACCTTAGCGCGCGACGCGTCCCTCGGCGGCGCCTTCGAACGTTTGCCACGAGCGCGACCTCTACCGCGGGCGGCACCACTCGCCAGGCTACTAGCCAGCGAGCAGTCGCTCTCCGAGAGCTCCATGGCGCCCTCTGTCGGGATGGACGACGCCATCTACCGGCCCGCACGATAACCGAACCGAACCTCTTATCCGGGACACGCACCAACTGTACAATGGCAACGCTCGCTAGCGAGTTCACACACCGAAGCACCAGCTGTTGCTTACGCTCACCGTGAGAGAAGCGCTCTCTCGAAACGTACACGCGGTGCCACGCGAGTGGAAAATTCCCAATGGGAAATGTCTTTCCCACCTCAAATCGCGTTGTTTTCGCCGGGAAAACTGTGTCCGCTGTACTAAGTCGCACTCACGAACCTGTTTCGCAGGTTTTCGCTATTTAATATAGCCCACAAGTAACACTTTGAATTTATCACACACGGAGCACACGTTACGCGCGTCCGTCGTTAATCCATTCATGCGCGTCAGTATTTGGCTATTTTTTTTTATCGCTAAGGACTGGAAATCTTCCATAGATACTAGGTCCGCCATCACCTTGTGTGGTAGGTAAGTCTAGCATGCACGATTAATTGCTCTATCTGAACCTTCTTTACATTGAGGGTTCCGCAACGCCTACGTACTAAAACCATCCTCATCTTATTATTTATTTGCTACTTTTGCGATGTTTATGCCTTCTTGATGTTATGCCAAGGCAGCAGGCATTATTTTCATATTACCAGCGACTTAAGCTACGTATTCTCTTGAGTATCCACTTAGATACATGAATAGCATATTACCGTTTGTTAAGATAAGATATATTTCAAAACTTTTTGAGCAGATTATTGCGAACCATCTTTTTCTTTCTAGTTAAGCCTTATATCTTACCCATCTAACTTAAGTATGGCTGGTAAATCTACAACTACTATTTTGGCCGTCTTCATCAATTACTGCATTCTAGAATTCCACTGTCATTGTCAAGTAACACTTTATTTGGACGTTGTCAAGGCTTTTGAAAAATGTTTTCATAACGCTCTTTTTGGCAAACTCCAATAAGCTTGGTTGTCCTCACCATCAGTGTTGGGATAGGCACCCGCTAAGGTGCAAGGTATTGGCGGTAACAAATACCAAGGTCAAACAAAACGTACGCAATTTTCTAAATATTTAGGTAACTAACTAATTTTACAAACACCAAATTTATAACTACAATTAAAGTGATATATTGAAGAACAAACTCTTTCAATAAAATTTGTTTATTAATTATAAATTTGTTATCAAATAAAATTCTTAAATAAGTTTAAATTATATATTAACGATTATTATCCCATTATTATCTTTAAACAGTTAATATAAGAATTCATAGAAAAATATTATTATTAGATTATTATTATTAAAAACCATCACTGCATGTCTGCCTTCGCAGTTGGTGATAACCACCGTAAGTGAACCGTATATACACATATGTGTATGCCAGACAGACTCTTTATATTTACCCCTTTCTTCGGAAACGTAAGGAAAGTGGTGATTTCCCCGACATTTATGTTAGCCCATTCGATTCCCCAGACAGACTTTAATTTTCCCCAGAAATTTAACCATTCCCTAGACATTTCCCCCTTAACTGCGTGAAGTTTGAACTTTCCCCATGAGATTTCAAATGAAATTCACCATTTCGATTCCTGTTGTCTGGCCACTCTCGTGACTATCATCACAATTGTGCCTATCGATTGTGAGGTCAAGCGTTGCCACCGTCGTTACCATTATAGTTGTCCTATGTCGCCAGTGTTGCTACTACTAAAACTGTTCACGGAGAAATCTAGTATTTCTTGTACCCATCGATCGCAACTATCGATAGTTTCCGATTTTCGCAATGGCAGCGTGGGTGGTAGTCAAGACAAAGTATTCAGCGAGAGGCAAACAGCTTGCAATGACTTTCCGTCAGACCTTTTTCTACGCCAAATTTCCCCACAGTTTCCAACACTAGGTATCGATTGACACCGACGACTCCCCTGCTAAGAGCAACTGGACCATCTCTAAGGGCATCAAAAGGTAAATAAAAAACAAAAAGGTAAATATGGGAACTAAATGACGAAAAGTGGAGTATAAATGGACTTGCCGATGCGCACCCACCCATCCTATTATACCCCTTCGTCAGTTTAGCTCCTCAATAATGGGAATTCCCTAAGGCAACAATGGTACGCATCTTAATATATACATTTGTTATGATCACAAAAGATATTAAACATTTTCTCTTTTAAAGGCATAAAAAAACTGCCACCTGATGGGTAAGGTAAAGTTTTATCAGTTCTGCTCAACCAATTCCTATTGGCAGACCCTAAGTTGTACAACCGGACACAAGCGCGAGGGATCACGAATATTACAAACGGACAGGAGTTAAGGTATAAAAGTTACTTAAAATCTAATTTTAGGTCGCCAAGGTAGAGAACGGCCAGTATGGCACGCAGGGATTTTGGCTATTTTAAGTTAAAGGCGTGGCTGCTGGTCGCAAAATCCACCGAAATATGGGTAGAGAGGAACTTGATCCCCTTTCAACGACCCTGTGGGATGCGGTGTCTCGGCCATTCGCTGCTACACAGCGGCCACCCCAACAGAAATGGTACGCAGTGCAGTGGCCAGCGACTTACTGCAGCAAATCCTGCCTGTTGTGCTTAGGATGCAGTACAGTTTCCTGAGCCACCTAGAGGGCAGTGCAACGATGCCTACGATGCCCAGGTTCTATGTTCTAAAACGGACTTACTGAGGGATTCTCTAGTGTGGTTGGTGGTTGCTGCTGATCGGGTATGACTTTCACAAAGGGGGACAGTTTAAGGCGAGGTCCGCCTTTCTCCAACGCCTTTTAAAATAGGGTCCCCGTTAGAAATAATAAGATACCGGCAACACCAATAAACACCACCACTCTTACTTTGATCGCGAATTCCACAATAAAATTATCTTGAAAAGCGTAGAAGTGTGGCAGCTACTGACCTACGCAAAGTCATCTGCCATATTCTCGCTGGGGTCTCCCAAACTGGGTCATAGGCCAAATCCAAGGTCATCATAGCAATACACACAGTGAATCGGGCTGTTTAAATACCTAGATAGCCAAGTGCTTCAGCAGAAGGGCCGCCACTTCATTAGGGGTTACCCTCCACTAAACCTTATTGACAGCATGAAAAACTGATAACCGATTCCCTACTTTCTTATTTCTTTCCAGCCAAATTGATTTGCAACACCATCCAAAGATTTAGAAAGACGCCACCTAATCACAGGCCACTCGACAAAATCATAGGGAGCATATGGATAGAAGCCTGGTGAAATCCTCAGGTGCAGTTCCAAGCACGCTGGCCGGGAAGTACTGCTCCAGATGTTGCCTACGATCGTTTACTTTGTGCCTCCTTTCAGGTTACACCCGTATGTCGTTGGCGTGGTACACGAGTAACCGACACCTTGCAGAATCTCCGGCTCGTAGGCATTGTTTCCAACCGCTTTCACGACGAAGTTGAGGCGATACACTTCTTGGCCCGGCTTCACTAGGAACGTCCGAGCTCTCTGGTCGTACCGCTGGCGACTTCGTTCGTACGAGCTTTCAAGCCTCTTCTTTAGATCATATGGCATAGATCACTTTCAGTTTGTCGGTCGTTCCCGTTCCTTAAATCTAATGGTCGCATATAGACTTCAATATTCTCGCCAACTTGTAATGTTCGAAAATCCTGTGAAAGGGGACTTCGCCAGTTGCCGAGTGAATGGCGTTGAAAATGGCCATCACAGTTTCGGGAGATCCCATTCTTGATGGTCGTCCTTTATGAAACTCCGGGTAGCCTATGAGCTCATCCTCGATCCTAAGGTAGGGTAAGTGCGGATTGCGTGTTTTCCAGACTTTCCTTGACAAAGTTTTGTGGCTTCTAGGATGGCAATGATCTCGCTCGTGCAGGAGGAAGAGTACATTGGTAGTAGACCGGATTTTAAAAGGTTATCAGTAATACTGAATCCAGATACCCCATCAGCCTTAGAACCGTCAGTATATACAAAATTGTGTTGTGGGTATGAGGATTGTAAGGACCTGAGAAGTTGTTGGTAAGTTGTTGCAGGGGTTATTTGTTTATTATGAGGTAACATACTAGTATCGATAGCTTTATGTATGGTAGTCATATTAAATTTTTTACAGTTACTGATTCGGATAGGAGAAACGGGGAGGGATAGATGGTTGCATGATTTGATTATTCTGTATATGGTACTAGGGTATCTGTATTTTATTTTTTGTGGCTTTATTAGTTTAGTTATATGGGTGCCGTGGGCGAATAGATATTTTTACTTAATTTGGCTGTAAGGAAGTTTCGTTTTTGTTCTATTGTGTTTGTTTTTGTTTCTAGTAGTAAGTTGTTTACTGGTGTGGTTCGATAGGCTCCTAAGGCTGATCTTAGAACTGCATTTATTGTTGTTTTTAAACAGTTTAATTTAGATTTGGGAGAATATCCGTAAATAGGCAGTCAAAAATCGATTTTTGAAATGAGGATAGATTTAATAGTATTGATAAGAGTGGTTGTGTTACTGTTATATTTAAGGGAAGAGAGATGTTTAATAATACTTAGAGTTTTTGATAGTTCTGTTTTTAATTTTGAAATATGGGTGTTCCAGGTGTATTTGTTGTTAATAGTAAGTCCTAGTATTCTGAGGGAATTGGTACTGGGAAAATTTGTGTCGCCTGTAAGGATCTTGGCAGAGCAGTTTTGTTTTCTGCCTATGTGAAGGAATTGTCATTTTTCTTTTGATCGAATTGATCCAGAGTTCGTACACCAGTCGTCTATTTGAGAAAACAGGGCTTGGAGGTTGGTAGTGCGGTTTTTGGTTTATTGTGTTCGATTATAAGATGGAAGTCATCGGCGTATGATGTTAGTTTTATTTTTAGTTTTAGTTTGTGTTGTAAGCTATGTGGTCTACTAAGAGTAGACTGTCTATAACAGATCTTTCCCTTCTGAATCCAATCTGGTTGCTGTTGATTAGATTGTTATTTAAAACAAACCACCACAGTCTCTTCGCGATAATTTTATCAAGTGTTTTGGCAAGGCATGAATTTAGGGATATCGGGCGGTACGATTTTATGTCTGTTTTGAGTTTTTGGGGTTTTAGAATGGGAAGTACAAGGCTATGTTTATAGGCTTGCTTATGTGAGCAAACACAACGAATAAGCAAGTGCGTATGTGTGCGTACTTGTTTGAGAAGACGATTTTCGGCCAGAAATCATTTCTGAGCTAAGAAAATAATTGTGTGTCAAAAGAATTTCTATGATTGAACAGGGTGTTTATTTAAATTGCATTGATGTATATATGACAATGAAGCTTGATGTAAACCTTTTTTATACACCTTAAAAACGAATAAATGCATATTTAATTCATAGTTTCTGTTAGCGTACCACTATTTTGTGTGGGAGACAATTATGATGACTCTTTGTATATCTTAGAACATAGGCAATGCAATGTATTTTTAACTAACAACCCCCACTTCTTTGCTATGGTGCCCGCCTTGACTCAAAAAACGTGTATATAAACCCGACCTTTTGCTCGCCCCTAAAGACTTCAAAATCTACAAAGTGACTACCAAAACTAAGAAAAATAGCGAAAAGACGCTGGAAGCAATGCCCATATCCCAAGGTCAACATCTCCTTGTGATTAAAACTAAATTTAAAACCGATCTAGCTAATCAAATCAATTAAAAATGTCGAACGCAAATAAAATATTAACAAGTGCAACCGGTAAAGCCACGAAGCCAAGTCGCGATCGGCAACAAATACAACTAGACGAACGACGGCTGTCTTCTGCACGGAACAATGCTTACATTTCAATTGACTCATCGGAGGCAACAACAAAATTAACGTCACTGACCGCTACCGAAAGAGCCCGCTCACTGTCACCAGCGATTTTATGCTCAAGCAGCGCTGCCGTTACTCAGTCGTGGAGTTCATAATGCCCGTCACCTCTCTCTCTCATCGATGCACCGACTACTTCGGCTTGTGCGCCCACCAGCACTGTACCCTCTCTTACTACAGCAACGTCAACGACAACAACAACTTTAACGTCTGCGGCTACCCAGTGGCCTATCTCAACACCACAAGTAAAACTTAGCTCTACTGACCCTCTTACGAATAATACCCTCTTACAGACCGGGATCGATCGGTATGTACAAATAACAAGAAAGGAAAGCTAACTTCGGGCGGAGCCGAAGTTGATATACCCTTGCAGAATACTCTGTAAATTCATATAGTCGGCCGATCCTTATGAACTTTGGTAGGTCGGATTGATTGGCCAAAAATAAAACCCGTAGAAAATCCCAACTTCCTAACTTAACATCAGTTATATGGCAGCTATAAGATATAGTCGGCCGATCCTTATGAAATTTGGTAGGTCGGATTGATGGGCCAAATATAAAACCCATAGAAAATTTCAACTTCCTAACTTTACAAACACCAAAGTTATGGCATTTCCGATCAATCAGTTATATGGCAGCTATAGGATATAGTTGGCCGATCCCGGCCGTTCCGACATATATACTGCGTGCAAAGGAAAGAAGGCTGAGTGCAAAGTTTCAACTCGATAACTTTAAAACTGAGAGACTAGTTTGCGTAGAAACAGACAGACGGACAGACGGACAGACAGACGGGCAGACGGACAGACGGACATGGCTATATCAACTCAGGAGGTGATCCTGATCAAGAATATATATACTTTATAGGGTCGGAGATGTCTCCTTCACTGCGTTGCACACTTTTGACCAAAATTATAATACCCTCTGCAAGGGTATAAAAAGAAAGCTTAGTCCAAAAAAAAACGTAAACTCAAATTTGCCAAAAGTACCGAAAACTTTAGGCAACACACGAACATCCGAAAATAGATTTGCCATACTTGGCGAGACCGAAGAAGACAAGGGTCAGGCGCCTCAAGTCATGAAAGCTGTAAAGCCACCGCCAATATATATTAGGAAACACAACAGTGTCGATCTGATTAATAAGCTTAAACAAGTAATCGGGCCTAACCACTTCTATATCAATACCCTAAAAAGAGGAAACATATTAGAAACAAAACTCCAGGTTAACAACGAAGACAACTTCCGTTCTGTAACAAGATATCTCGACAATGAGCTTATAAATTACTACACTTACCAACTAAAAAGTAAGAAAGGCCTACAAGTTGCACTTAAAGGTATAAAATCGACTGTTGCGGTAGCAGAAATAGCCGAAGGCCTCACGGAAAATGGCTTCGACGTTAAGCACATCGTAAACATAGTGAACAGGGATAAAATTCCCCAACCCCAGAGACGAAACCTCTAAAGAAAAATGCAGTGCATCCTATTTACAATCTGCAATATCTCCTTCACCGAAGAATCACCGTAGAGGAACCGCATAAGCGGAACGGCCCCGTACAGTGTACAAACTGCCAGGAGTTCGGGCATACAAGAACCTACTGCACCCTGCGTCCAGTTTGTGTCGCCTGTGGAGATTTGCATTGCATTGAAGCATGCCTGGGAAACAAAGAAGACCCTACTCTGAGGAAATGCAGTAATTGTGGGGGAAACCATACTGCCAACTACCGGGGCTGTCCCGTCTACAAAGAACTCAAGAGCCGCCTAAATCAGAGACGCAGTAATCCACTCGCGGCTCAACACTCTGCCCAACCAAACATCTTCACCCCATCAACAACCACTCCTGGTGTCTCCTTTGCCAACGCACTCCGCGACCCTGGAATCTCACAAACATCTACCGCCCAACCTGCAGCATTGCGTCCACAGCCACCCATATCAAACCTAAATGATTTTCCGCTCTTAAGCCAAAATGGCCAAACAACAAGTCAACCTTCTACGCAGCAAAACCAAACTCTTCCCCCACAAACACTTAGCGGTCTAGAATCTACACTAGCTACTCTTGCAAACGTCATGATGACGATTCAAAGTTCCCTTCAAGAACTACTGCGAAACCAGAGCCCTCTAATGGAACTGCTGATCAAACAAAAGTCTGTATAAATGGACTCCTTAAGAATATGCTTCTGGAACGCAAACGGCGTTTCCCGGCACAAAAACGAACTCCTACAGTTTCTAAACAGCCACAATATCGATATCATGCTACTTTCTGAAACCCATCTAACTAATAAAAACTACTTCCATATCATCGGATATATATTCCACGCGACCAACCACCCGGACGGTAAAGCACACGGAGGTACCGGTATACTCATTAAACAACGCATAAAACATCATCCCTTGGAGACATTCGCTACTAACTACCTACAGGCCACATCCCTACGTATAAACCTAATTGGCGGCCCACTTACCCTATCCGCCATATATTGCCCCCCACGCTTCAGTATTGCAGAAAATGAGTTTATGAATTTCTACAACTCACTAGGACGCTGCTTTATAGCTGCCGGTGATTATAACGCAAAGCATCCCCACTGGGGATCTCGTCTTATCAACCCCAAAGACCGCCAATTATACAACGCTATTATCACTCCTGGTAATGCGCTTGACTTTGTCTCACCAGCTAGGCCTACATACTGGCCCACAGATCCAAATAAACAACCTGACATTATCGATTTCGCTGTTATTAGAAGAGTCTCGCACAGGCTGATAAACATAAAAACCTTAGAAGAGCTTACATCGGACCATTCGCCAGTTCTCCTCTGTCTATCTGAACAGCCGCAGCTTCTGGAACGCCCCCAACATCTAACATCAAACAAAACAAACTGGCTGAAGTACAAAAAATATGTAAGTGCACACATCGAACTTGATCCTGAAATTTCCTCTGAATCTGACATTGACAAGTCGCTTAAACACCTCACGGACGTAATGTCC